ATACCTGTCATACCTTTGTCATTATACCTCTCTCTCTCTCTCTCTCTCTCTCTCTGTAACAATGAAAAAGTCTTTGCTGTCAAATATCTCACTGACTCCAGACATTTGAACAGTGGTGTAAAAAAAGGTTTACGTTAATGTATTAACAACAGTGTACAACATTTTTAACAGTGTAAATATTCTACTGCCCATTGCTAATTAGTGTTTTCTTTTATATTAATGTTAATTTATGCAGATAACAGTGTTAAAATGTGTAAAATGCATATGCAAAAATTTAATTGCTATTCACTGCTATTTCATGTTAGCCATTGCATTAACTAATGCTACCTATAGAATCATATTACAAGTTTTTGCAAATAACTTGAGCAATGATGCAAGCACCATTTGATATTTATTGTCTCCAGTTTTTAAGAATCCAGTCAATAAATCCACTTCATCAAGCAGGCTTTTACAAACTACATATCTGCAAAAAGCCAGGCATTTAAAATGAATGGTACGAATAACAGTGGCACAGAGACATACTGTTTCATGTGAAACTACAGCAATGAACCGCTGTCGTCAGTCCTATCCCAGCCATTAACCACCAACTGGAGCCAACTTGAACAAAACTGGGTAACACTTTAGAATAATGGTCCGTTGTTAACAAGTAACTATGCAGGAAGTAATAGGTAGTAGAGGATAAAAAATATATCCTCATTGAGAATTACTTGTGAACTATGACCAGTTAATAAAGAATAACCAATTAATTACTAATCACAACAGTAACGTCTTAAAAGTGAACAATAAGTGTTAATGTAGTACTACCTATTACTTCCTGCATAATTACTTGTTAACAACGGACCATTATTCTAAAGTGTTACCCAAAACTGAATAGAGATCATTTCCGATATCTTTGAAGTTTTAAAATGACGGAGCGGAGTCGGCCCCTTATACGACGAGCAACCGGTGAGTACAGATGAAAGCGGTTCCCTTCATATCCATAATTAGAACACACAACACAAAAGAGAAGCAGAACAAGCACTGATGAGCAGCCAGCAAGTGGAGGATGCAATTTGTGCGACTCCTCTCTGTAATCAGGGGTCACTCAATGTGGAGGAGCCTTCTTCTCGGATCCTACTGAAATACGGAAAATTACAGTTCAGAGGGGACGACTGTAACCATGACAATTTAACCCCCCTGCGTTCCCCCATCTCCTCGGCTGCTAACTTGCTGCTGACAGCTTGAATGCTCGGCTGTGATTCTAGCCAGAGGATTAACTTCCACATTTAGATTGCTGACAGTGGATTTTGCATGAAGGAGTTTGCATACAGAAATGCAAAGGTCTTTAGGGAAACACAAACAAGAAAAAAGATAATTCCTTCTACTGCAGCTGAGACACTTGCTTAAAGCTTTGCAAAGGAAGAAAATAGCTTTTGTCAGTTGTGGTAACTGTGTTATTAACTTATACATTTTTATTTTATTTATTTGGCTCCAGTTGCTCCAGACAGTATTTGAACACGACACTCGATATATCATATCTGGCTGGAGATTTGATTGATTTGATACAATTCTTAAAGCAAGTGACATTTGTAAACAAATAATTCTAGAGCTATTCTCTGAGATGCAACCTTTTTTATTATTTTATTAAAAAAATGTGTTTTAAACGAATAGAACATTTCAAATGCTAAAACAATAAATATATTGTTTGAAATAATAAAACAAGGTTAAATCTATGATATTTTAATTCCAGAATTCAGATGTTTTCAGACATATGTGGAAGACTGTGTGATGTCACCTTTTTATGTATGTGTGCATGTCTATTATTATTATTATGTGTTAATAAATATTTTTTTATGTATATAATTTTTTATTTATTTTTTTTTTTTTTTTACAAAGACTGACTCAGAAAGTCATGGTATTGTCTTCTGAGATTAGGTTACAGGACTATGTGGGACATGTTAACTAACCCTCCTCAGCCCCACACCTTGAGACCGAGGTAAAGTTTCACACCATGTAAACATGACTTAATCTCTTCAGACAGGTCTAATATACTGAACACAATCCAACGTCCGATTCAGCTGCGCAAAAGCATAAAATAAAAGCCGTGTTTACGATCTGTTTCCCCAGGGTAACTGTATTGATAATGTGATTAAAAAAAGATATTATACAATACTAACTGACATTTGATCATGTGCTTTCCTCCAAGTCAGCAAAAGGTCTCAGAAATGTCTATTTGCACTGTGATCATCCGAGAATAAAGATAAGTGGCGGAGATGTTCTGATGTCAGTGTCAATATTCTGCTGAGCACATGTTGAGCTCCATGGCTTCAAAGAGCTACAATGTTATGGGCTTACATTTCTGCCACAATTCTGAGCGCGAAAGATCATATTTTGAGCGCACAAAAGCGCATTTTGCACGTGCGCGATCTGAGTTTTGTGGAGAAATTGTTCGTTTCGCAAAGAAAAAAGTCTTTCGAGCGCACGGAAATCAATTTTGCATTTAAAACACGTTTTTGGATGTGTGCAGACCTTCTCCTTTGCGCGTGCAACGTTTCACTAGCTTGCTCACCTGATGCCCCCCCCCTCTGTGCTCGCTAAATGCCAACAGCTCGCTTGCTCAACACAACCCAGCGTTACAATGTGCCATAATTCCAGCCAATCAGAGACCGAGGCTGCTAAATTCTGATTGGCTGCCTTGACAACCAATCACAACATTTATTGCATTACCTCGACAGCAGAAGAGGAAAAATACAGTGCATGCATAATTATTATGCAAGTTGATATTCTGATCATATTTTTTTCCAAGCACATTTTACCAATTCCAAACGACATCAATCTTAATAACTACTATTAATCTTGTATTTAGTAATTTATAATTGATATATAATTATTCATGAAGGCTGAAGTGAAAAATGTCTTATATTCAGGTGTGCATAATTATTAAGCAGATTTTCTTTTACAGATAAAATGAGCCAAAAAACAGATTTAACTCAGACTGAAAGTAAAAAATTATTAAATGCCCATGAGAAATATTCAAAACTAATACAATACTAGAAATTGCAAAGTTAATGCATAACCATTGGACAGCAAAATGCTCAGTGGTCAGCAGAGTCAGTCAATGATCTTTCGCGCGCAGAATTTCGGCAGAAATGTAATTCCATACAATGTTTATAAATGTCTGAGATCGAAAGCACATTTAAAGAACACAAGAACAAAACCTATCACTGAGAAAATTCCTTCCAAACCTGTACATCTGAAGTTTTCATACAACACAATTTTGAAAACCAACTGCAAATAATTCGCTCCTCACAAAAAGTAGTGGTTTATTACTGAAATGGGTTGTTTAGTAAACTTGAACTGACATCTTAAGATCAGAGTAGTTTAATGATAGCCCAAACAATTTCATTTGACTTCCTTTAAGCCTTAATATAAGGGGGTCAACCCCCAAATCCCAACAATTATACTCCCTCCACCACCTATGTTTAAATATACACCACAATAATACCATAAAATTCAATTTGAAGTTACTTGAAGTCCCATGTAATTATCATGGTATTGTATGTGCAAAAGTTTATCATGGTATATAGCATAGTACTATGGTATTACCATCAAATGTCATATCTGTATCATTGTACTTCGGGGGAATTATGAAAATCCAACAGTAAGCTTTAATAAAAATAAAAAATAAAAAAAAAACATGCTTTGAGGATATTTGAAAAAGTTTGCAATTTAAGCACACTGATAATTATGTTGTATTAGTCTCAAATTAAATTATGCATTACGTCACTTCTGCAATTTGATGAGCTGAAATGAAACTTTCTCAGAAGGTTGTTGTGCATAACCATACAAGCAGTTGTGTGACTATAAAAAATGTACAACATATTATTAAATTAAAGAATACAAATAATACACATTAAATACGAGGTGTGTATAATTTTATGTTCCAGTACTGGCACATTCAAATTACTGTATGATTCAGGTGTAATAACACAACTACATTAGTAAATTCAAAACAACACTTTTTTTTCTGGATAATTACTGCTGAAAGACATAACTAATGGGCATCCCAGCAGGCACCGGACGTCTATGTAATGTCAGATTGATGTTGGACATGACGTCAGACAGACGTTGCGTTTTGGTTGAAAATTAAAATCGGGTTAACGTCAATATTTGATGTCAATTTGACGTTGACTTAACATTGGATTTTGGTTACACAACCTAAAAACAACAAAATATCAACGTCACCTGACGTCGGTATTGGACATCAATTTAACATTGACATTAGACGTTGAATTTACATTGAATTTTGGTCACCCGACGTCGATTTAACCAAATATCAACGTTGTGTGCCTGCTGGGATTATTCATCAATACATAGTACAGTATGGTGCAATATAAAGCGACCTCACTATTAGAACACTGTAACCCATTACAGAGGCAGACCATCTCTTTCCTGCTAAAGCCTGTGTGTCTGAATACAGATCTGGTATCTGAACTTGCTCATCTTAGCAGGACACAGTCAATCCACATTGGTAGTCACATCCACCCCCACCCCCCATACCTGTCTTGCCACAAAAACTCTGTCCAGACCTACCGCTGAAATAAAGTATCTTATGTAACACTCGTCTTATCCCATTTCCACAACGCTCACCTTTATACCTGTCTGTTCTCAAGCAGTCAAACAACACAAAGGTCACTAAGATTACTGTAGGCCTAATGTGATTTTAAAAGAGAGATTCGCCCTGATTTCCACTGCTTTCATACGTACCCCATCAGCCCACACTGTGATGGTAGCAATACATCTATAATGTGATAGTGATATAGCATGCAGTACACTTTTCCCTGATTTACAAACACATTAGCATATGCATGTTTTCCGGCTGCAAAAATAATAACTGTGATTGATTATGGCATTTAAAAGTGTTTTGCCGATAATGGCTCTAGCCCAGTTTAACAAGTGTGTGATATACAACAAGCTTAAATAAATGAGGCTCACGTGTATGACATGGAACTGAACTTCACCTCTAGCACTAGCCATAGCTGGTCTCCGATCTTCACATCCTTCTTGTAGAACATTCCAAAAAACTTCACGACATTGGAATGGTCTGAGAGAGTTTTGAGGATGTTATATTCAGCTTCAATTTCCTCATCAATGTCCTGAAAGAAACAGATTAATTTAATTGACTTTTAAGAAACACAGGGCAATGGTTCAAACTTCCATTCTCATTTTGGAGTGAACAGAAACATTTCTTAAACTATCCAGTTTTTAATGAAACACAAAGGGAGGCACTGATGCAAAAAAAAGAAAAATATATATTTTTGTGAGTCATTTTATCTATTGAACTTAGCGAAACCAGAAAGGCTATGAAATGTCAGCATTAATAAAGCCCTACAGGCCACAACGGTACACTACACTTGGGGGATATATTGAAATAATATTTGTTGGCTTCCACATCCTCCAATGTCGGAAAATTACTGTTTACTGATTGAACCTGGAGGAAAAACAACCTCTGAGAGTAGAATTTTAATGGATACGGTGCACAGGTCTTTTGTGTGATGCCTTTTGGCTTCAAAAGTGCTCCACATTTCTATTACTACACATGATTACTGCATTTCCTGTGCTTGGAAAGCAGTGAAAATAAATATTTGTGAATATCGAAGGTACAATGACCACGGCAGCTGCAGTCTATTAAATTAAGCCTAGATTTATTTGATCTAGATGAGTAATTTGAAATATACTGGCAGCCAAAGGCCGTTGAAATACTTCCAAGCCTCCTTTCAGGACCTTGAAAGGGTGAACTGGAGAAACTCTGGTGAAGTAAATTAACACAAATTGCACATTTTCTGAAAATCCATCTCTTCATGATTAGTCTGTGTATGTGTTGTTAGGGGTGCTTTTATTTGCCCCATCACTAAAAGAAAGAGTGTGTGGCTGGAGAAATAACGAGAGAGAGAGAGAGAGAGAGAGAGAGACGGAGAGCCTTTTGGCATTATCTGCAGGATATAGATGTTCTGTTCTTAATATGATAGTGGCAAGTATTTGTTCTCAGTGGTCAGTAATTGCCTGCAGGCGTCTCTTAAGGCATAAACACTCTCACAGGTACACACAATTGCGCAAATACATGCATATGCACACAAATGTGAACTCATTGAACCTGAAGTGCCTACCATGACTCTGCCCTTAACCTCAGTTCTGTGCAAATCTGACCTTGAGTTTGCTCTGTGTTTAAAAAATTTGACTCAGGGTTCGGCTAAACAGGACTCATAGATGTGCATGTTTTGAGAGTTGTGCTTGTTGTCTCTCTTTGTGACCTAAAAACATACACCACACACAGGTTTGATCTAGTATGGTTTTACTCACATGGATTGGATCCAGTATTTTGACGGCGGCTTTGCTGCCATTGACCCTGTTAAGCACTTTATAAACTTTCCCATATGTCCCTTTACCAATAGTCTCAATGATCTCCCAGGTGTCGGATGGATCTGGAAAGCTGTCAAAGACGATGGATTTCCCTGAGTGAGGAAACATCTTCTCAAGTGATCTCCTGAGGAGAAAGAGCACATATTGAGTCTTGAGTTATAGACGACTACTTGCTGTTTTTCCATTTGACTTATGGTGGTTAACTTGGAAGTTGTTTTTTTTCACTTGTGATGCCTGCACACAAGAGATAACACATTTTAACAACCATGTGATGAGTAAAATAACCTCTGCATGAAAATGCACACTAATATGTAAATATGGGTTTTAAAATTAGCCGTGGCACAGCTAGGACTATTTTTGCATGATAGCAATGTTGCTCCAGGATTAACAAAATCCATATATGCAGTAGTAACAACAAGATCACCCTTTATCATGTCTGAATAAGCATATCCCTCAGAATTTTTGCAAAAGCTGCTGGCTTTTACCTGTCACTGAGGATGGAAAACTTTGGACTAAAATGTTTTGGTTCAATTTATATCTCCAGGGTTTTGATCTCAGAATTTGTGAATCCCTCTTCAGAAAACAATGTCTGAGAAAAGCAGGAAGATATGATCAAAGGCAGAAAGATCTGAGGATGCAGTGAACTAATTTACAAAAGGGTCAGAAGTTCTGTTCCTTCAAAGATGACATTATGTGCAGATTGCACAACAAATCCTAGCAGTAACTATGACTTAGTGAAAGAAAACATTACATTCCAATTGGCACAATGCAAGAACTTTTTGACAGAAACTTACTTCATAAAAGAAACACAGTAGCAGAATTTCAAATGTTCTGAAGAAAGCTTGAATGGTGCTTGTCTGTGCAAAGCACTATGCTAGAGTATTCTGGTGGGCATTGCTTTCGAGTGGCTGAGGTGTTCTGGGGTTTTGCTAGGTGGTTGCTCACTATCCTAAATAAAAAGAGCTGATCTTCAAGTCTTTATGAAATTCTGGTCTCTTAATGTGACTTGGAGGTCCTTTGTTCAATGCAATTGTTTTGCATTATACTCTCCTCCAAGAAAAGTGGTGTCCAGTTCTGCTCCTGGAGGGCTACCTTCCAGCTAATCATGGTCTTCAGGATCACTTGGATCTTCCAAGCAGGTGTGTTGGAGCTTCACTCTGCAGGAAAGTAACTGTGTCCCAATATAGAGGCTGTATTCGAAGACTGAATGCATCACAGCGGTGCAACAAAGACTGTCCCATTTCAAAGTCTCCTTCAAATGGGGCCTCAAAATGTGTCCTTTGTTTCCGGGGCTATGAAAGATACAACAGATGGATCCTTCATGGCCCAGGCAATCCCAAGTTTCATCGCGCCAATGATGACAGGATTTTTTTAAGTGAAAATGCCAGATAATACTTTCAAATTGAGTTTCAACTTAAAAAAAAAATCGGTTTACATGTTGACTTATATCTTACTAAATTATCATTTTAAAAACAGTTTATACTTTTTATTAAATTATGCTCATGGACTAAGGTGAACAGATTATGAACCCTGATTTGTTTTTAAGCTGTTGAAGATCAATTAAAAAAAAAGTCCAGTACAAATGTTGCTTCTATTTGTCAATGGCAGCTGTTGAAGTTACTAGGAAATCCCCCATAGGATAGACCAGGGCTGTCCAAACTCAGTCCTGGAGGGCCGGTGTCCTGCATGGTTTAGCTCCAACTTGCCTCAACACACCTGACTGGAAGTTTCTAAGCCTAGTAAGAGCTTGATTAGCTGGTTCAGGTGTTTTTAATTTGGGTTGGAGCTAAACTCTGCAGGACACCGGCCCTCCAGGACCGAGTTCGGACAGCCCTGGTTTAGACACTTTCAGTTCCGCTGCTCACAAATAAGTGCTTTTATAACAGCAAAAATATGTTTCATGTGATGTTAACGCAATGTTTATCAAAATAAAACTGATTAAAAAATAAAGACCCCACTTTAGTAGTATGTTAATAGTATTGACTTTATTGGTATTTTAATAGTAGGCCTTTTGGCTTAAATTTTACAGGCACTGTCTTAAGTACATTAATTATTGAATGAAAAGTGTTTCTGTTGCTTCATGAAAACATCTGAAACATCTGTGTATTTGAGAAATATTGCTTCTAATCCACTTCATCTGTGATAAAGTATGTGCAGGGGCGGTTCTACATTGAATTACACCCTGGGCGAGACCCCCTTCGAGCGCCCCCCCCCCCCCAACAATCCTTCATGGCCCAGGCAATCCCAAGTTTCATCGCGCCAATGATGACAGGATTTTTTTAAGTGAAAATGCCAGATAATACTTTCAAATTGAGTTTCAACTTAAAAAAAAAATCGGTTTACATGTTGACTTATATCTTACTAAATTATCATTTTAAAAACAGTTTATACTTTTTATTAAATTATGCTCATGGACTAAGGTGAACAGATTATGAACCCTGATTTGTTTTTAAGCTGTTGAAGATCAATTAAAAAAAAAGTCCAGTACAAATGTTGCTTCTATTTGTCAATGGCAGCTGTTGAAGTTACTAGGAAATCCCCCATAGGATAGACCAGGGCTGTCCAAACTCAGTCCTGGAGGGCCGGTGTCCTGCATGGTTTAGCTCCAACTTGCCTCAACACACCTGACTGGAAGTTTCTAAGCCTAGTAAGAGCTTGATTAGCTGGTTCAGGTGTTTTTAATTTGGGTTGGAGCTAAACTCTGCAGGACACCGGCCCTCCAGGACCGAGTTCGGACAGCCCTGGGATAGACTGTCCCATTTAACAACACTCAGTTTGAAGTCCGTACCTATCAAATGATACAGCCTCTGCATTGAGACACAGCTAGGAATTCTTCAGTTGTAGGACAGGATACACTTGTCCAAGAGTAAATCTTTTGTCGGATCACTTAAAAAAGTAATAGCATACCTACATTTAAACAAGCTAGTATGTGTGTTCCCTTGAATTGAGAGGAGCTGTTTGTGTTATAACATTTAAAGATAAAACTGAAGTAGATAAGAGGATTGTTGTCAATGTTGCATCCCTTCCTTTCATTTAAATAGTTCCCACAAAGCTCTTGCTCCCTATGGGTTAAGTGCCTCATAAGACTGATCATTTAGGACCCATCAATCAGGCGCATGGTTTTTCCTATCATTGCTATGCTGATGACACGCAGCTCTACCTCTCATTTCAACCAGATGATTCAACTGTACCTGCTCGGATCTCAGACTGCCTGACTGGCTTCCAGTCATGGCTCGCATCAAGTTCAAGACATTGGTGTTTGCCTACAGAACTGCCACAGGTTCCACACCCTCCTACAGTACCTCCGCTCTCTCCTATGCACCCCCTCCAAAAGCCTGCAGTCAGTAAATGAGTGGCGACTAGTGGTCCCATCGCAGAGAGGCACAAAATCACTCTCAAGGACGTTTTCTTTCACCATACCCTGTTGGTGGAATGACCTACCTAACTCCATCCGGACAGACGAATCCCTCACAACCTTCAAGAAACAACTGAAAACTCATCTTGTCCATGAACATCTAACTGCCTCCAATAATAATAATAAATCTATGACTTCACTTTTTTTGTTCTCTTATTATCCTCCTGTCCTAGCGTTTTACTATTTTGAATGGTGACTGAAACCTATAACAGACATTTCTCGTGTTTATTGCCATCTTATGCTACATCGCTTGTTGTATTCTTCAACTGTAAGTCGATTTGGATAAAAGCTGCCAAATGAATACATGTAAATGTAAATGTAAATAAGAGTCTCATATTGTTGTGATGGAGAATGCGGGCAGGTCTCTTTAATGTGAGTGAGTAACAAAGACCCTGATTCAAGCTGCTTTTATGACCTCGTCTTTGTTCTCAGTACAGTGCGAACCGCTCTGGCTACCAAAACCTGATGTGCCAGCTATAAAACCACAGTGAAAAATGGGATTCCTAATGAACTGATGAGTTTGGACAATGAAAAATTTGCATTGTGTATTTTAGCATGTAAGCTAATTTCACAGAGAGACCAATAAATTATCACACCAGACTGAATGGATTTCAGAGGGAATATTTGTCTTGTCTCCAAGGAAAGAATGGCTAAATTTACTTTCTGGAGCTCTGTTAACAAATGCTTTAACTTTTGTTTGAATTTGCCTAACAAGCATCCAGGAATTTCCTTCCACAATATCAGGTATCAGATCACTCATCTTAAGGTTTAGAACTCAAGTTTTATTTTTTTAATATAAATATAAATATATTAAAATGTATAGTTGAAACTATTCTAAAAATGAATCCTCTACAATGCTCTACAACAACAAAAAAATATATATATACTTTTTTTTTTTATTGTTGTAGAGCATTGTAGAGGATTCATTTTTAGAACAGTTTCAACTATAAATTTTAATTGCCGTTAAGCATTAAAATCAATAAAGTTCTGCACACATTTAATATTATAACCTACTGTTAGACAAATAAACAATATTATTTTACAGAATTGTGTGGAAAATAAATATATAAACATTCTTTAAATGTTGTGTTCCAGAGAATAAATAGTATATAATCGTAAGCAGTATCTGATCAAAGTATTATTTCTTTTAAATACTGTAATTTTTCAGACCAACCCAACTCCTATCCAAACTCATGCCGGCAAAATCAGTCATAAATACTTCTGTTATTTAAAAGTAGTATGAAAAACACAGTAATCCCAAACAATAGTTAATCAAACATGAAATTATGTAACTACTGTTAGTACTCACTGATCTTTTTATTCTGTCTCTCAACCAGACTCACCATTTGTAACCCTACCGGGTGAAAGTTCAGCCAGCTCTTTCGCTACTCTAACTGCAATTAAACCCACTTTCAAGATAAAAATTGTAAAATTCAACATGTCACTTACATTCCTTTCTTAAATGGTCGATGAACATTTTGTTGAATAAGTCCATATTGACCCTGTGGAAGCAGTCGTGGCGTGTGAACACTTGTGGAGGAGTTAACCACAGCTAAAGCTAATCTCAGCGAGCCATGCCTGGCACCAGAAACAATGCTAAGCAGCAGAAGATATGTTGGGATTAAGAGGAATTAGTCGACTACGCCATGAGCCTTTCCTCATTTAGATACTCATTGATACAGGCGCCAAAGCTAGTACGAACAACTAAGAATATAATGCCAGGGGAACTACCTCTCTAACCCAAAGAAAGTAACTAGATAGAGTAGCTTAGGAAGCATATTTATCCTTTGTTAGGGGTTTTAATTTACACCAGAGAAAGTTCTTTCACACAGTGTTTTAGTATTTATAAAACTCAATGCTTTTTATTGAAATTGCCAACTTTTCTATGAATATGGCACAAATTGGTGTCCTATTACTTTTTTATAGCAAAAATGGCACAATTTCCTTTTTCAGTAGCAAGAACTATTAGGTATTTTGGAAGATTCCTTAAAATTGTAATGCAAAGGAAGTAACAGCATTTCTTTCATTCTTTTTTCATATGGTGGAACCGTGGAAGGACAAATAAAAACAAATCACATTCCATTTTCTCAATTTTCAGACAAATTGTTGCGCTGGCTGAATTTGTCTAGCTCAAACATTCATCAGTTATTGTGTTAAGAAAATAATCAAACAGAAATGTAAGTTTATCAGCAACTACAAACCAACATTTGGTCCCAAACTAACTAGCCCCCCACTGAGGGATATCATAATTTAGGCTAAATCTGCAATCCTGTTATCTACTCCTGCAACATTTTTCTCTTGGCATTGGTTCCTTTCACCCTTTGCTGTAAAAATAACAAAACTCCGACTTCATTTTCAAGCCAAATTTTCATACCCATTTGTAGAAAGTGGCAATTAAGATACTATGTTTCAGGATATACAATGCAATCAAAAGGAGCATGTTGGCCTACCTGCTTTTTGGTAGAAACCTGCACAAGTTAAAGAAACAACCAAATGTGTTATAAAATCTCATTTAAGCATGATAGGACATCGTCATTACTTATGCCAAGTCATTAGCCTTCTAAACAGCGAGGCCACACAGCATGTAACTGAGTACATGTACAGCACAATGTAAAGTGCCCGAGGATCTTCCACAGATGTTCAATAATGAAGTGAGATTCTATATGTTACAAAACTCCATGACACAGGAGAAACCGAAAGATAAGACTAGCCCACCTCATCCCTCACAAATTACGAGACATTGGGTGTGAGTGTGTAACATGACCTTCCCTACCTAGGGTACTTAGAGGTTATTATGAGGTGCATTAGTGTATGAATTTTTAAGTGGCCCTTGCTAAGCAAGCATCACTGTTACTGCTCATACAGGTTTGAGGCATTAATGATAATGGACTCTTTTCATTTGAGCTGGTACGTAACCACCTAGCAACCTCCCAGAACACCTTAACATTTTGTCATAAAGTTTGCATTTACAAGCAATACTTACTATTTTCCAATAAATAAATAAATTATTGTGTTTGCAAAGAATATGTGTAAAGAACTAGGTCAAGAATGAAAAGTTAAGGTTATACTGTAAGAAAAAATATTTTGCAAAAATTGTACCTTTAGGTGTACAACAGCTTATCACTGGGCCAGTACCCTTGAAAGGATACCTTTGTACCTTCTTTACCCATAAAGGGTGCATATTACTACTTTAGAGTGGTAATAGGTAACCTTCAGGTAACAATATAAACTCTTATAGTACTATTAAGGGTACTGTTCCAGTGCAAAGCTATTGTAACTCAAAAGGTACAATTTGTGCACTTTTTTTGAGAGTGTATGCATGTTTGCATTAATTTTGTACATTATTTGCTTAAACCATGCTGGTTTACATAAGGACAGATTAACATTACGTAGCAACATTCTGTCAGTTGACCATATGTCCTCTTTTTTCCCAGACATGTCCTGGCCGAGATTTCCAAATTGCCTAAAATGTCCAGATTTTGGCTTAGTTTATACAATTGGCATTCTCTCAGTCCTCATTCATTATATGCATGCATATTTGCATTGCTTTGACCATTCTTTGTAGATACCACCTTCTTGCACGCCACAATTCATCAATTATGTACAATCCCTGCACACTATTGGTCAAACTACTTTTCAGTCATTACCTTCAGCAAATATGAAAACAAAGCCCCCAAAAAACAGACATTTTAATCAAAGAAAAGCATGTATGGTCACCCTACATTACTTTAAACACAAATGAAAGAATTCACTAAGAATGAGAGCTGGTACGATTTTATTTGCACATGTTGTCTGCGCTGGTTTAGCATCCAATTCAGTAAAAAAGCTAGAATTGTGTACTGCACCACACATCTGGATATGCTTGATTATAATTATTTTCTCCATCATTTGCTGAATTATTGCAACCATAATCACAACAGAATTTACACAAATATCTCTTCTTAATAAAGTTTTGTTAGGAAGGTAAAAGGAAAATAGCAATGATTTTTGTGAATATGGTACAATCTATAACAATCATAATTTGCATACAAAGAAGGTGAGTTTGCCTTAATTTAAATATGGCGCAGCACTATTTCAGTGCATTTAGCACCTGGCTAAACTGTATTGTGAGTACAGGGTTTTGCACTGAAATACTGTGCACAAAAATACTGGCACAATTATAAATGTAGTGCAATAGTGAATTCACTGTACATCTGCATACCTGTTTTGCCCAGATGTCATCTTTGCCTGCTTTGCATCCAGGGAGCAACTTTATGAAAGTGCTCAGCACTCTGAAACATTTCAAGATAATACATTTTGCACTATGGTAAGTTGACTTATTTCACCTTTTTAAAGAACAAAGGTTGAAGCAACTTGAGGAGAGTGAGGAAACAGGAGCCAGGTCTGCCAGAGGAAGAAAGGAGACCTGAGCTAATTTACAAGGCTGTGAGTGGGTTGAAGTTTCAGTTTAACCTCTGCAGGGCAAAGCATGCAGAGGAAAAAGAAGTTGAAAGACTCATTTTAAGACACCATTACATTGACAACAAATGATCCTTAAGCCACAAAAATAAATATCAAGATAAATTTAAACATTTGTATCATGCACCAAAATGGTGCATCCAAATAGAAAATACAACCATTGTTTTATGAATATGCATATTAAGAACGAAGTCAACAATAGCACACGACACAAAACATTTTGTTAGTTTTTCATGTTACTCCAAATATTACATATTTAACATGTTATATTATTAGTATTAGTATTATTATTATATTAGGATAATTTGCCATGCTACTGCCAAAAAAAAACAAGGTTGAATCAAATAAAATTGTTGAATCAAATAAAATGAACTGATGTTTACCTGAAATTTTAGATGCAAATCAAAACCACATCCCTATAAAGTCTCATTGTGGCTAAGACATGTATTACCCAAAGGCACATGCACGTACACATTCAAAGCACCGAATTACAGCCAACCCCACACCATGAAGGTAAGCAAATCAGTCAAATTTGGCTATCTAGCCCTGCCCTTACTAAGTTCATCTAAGGCATTAAAAAGAAATGCATTTAACATAACTAATACAACTCAAATGCAATAAAGCCAGTTCCACAGATAGTGCTTGCCTTGAATGCTTGCCTTTTGTAAAAAACATGTTTTTCTCTATTTGCAAATAACTACAATGTGTTTAACTAATACTACAGTGTCTATAATTCTACAACAACCTATAAACACCTGCTTTAAGATCCAAACTTTCAAACAAAAGGTAAAAGCCCACACCATGCAAGTAAACAAACTTCAACTTACAGTTCGCCTCTGCTTCTACATGCTCAGGTATCAATCAGTCACAGAGGAAGGTGACTGTGCTAGTTACTGCCTACAGTTAGGTTATCTCTCTGTATTATGTATTATTCATCAACAAAAAGTAACACAATATTGTACAATATCCCAACATGCTTGGCTTCTGACCGTTGCTTTAATGTCACCTCAATGTTGATGCTAGGCTGAGGTGACCTATGGACGAAGGCATGCAATATCACTTGCAGATGACAGATTAAAACAGGCAACTGTTTGGACACCCATACTGTAATAGGTGCAATGGGGCATGACACCATGCTATGTAACAGTTTTTCTACCTACAGTGCATGCACTCGGTAAGAGCAGTGTAAGGACAGACAGCTTGATTTATTTGAGGTTTATGCTATTGTTCTGTTCTGACTCAACCCACAATGGCTCTAACAGTGCAACAGATGGTTCTGTGATTGCTACTACATCAAGCCTGCACTGCTGATGATTTAATGTGACTTATCTATCTTAGAGAGACATCTAGTGTCTCTACTTCTGGCAATGACAACACCATTGCCTAGCAGACAGGGTTATTTAAAGGGGTCATATGATGCGATTTCAATTTTTCCTTTCTCTTTGGAGTGTTACAAGCTCTTGGTGCATGATCGCCGGATCGGCTTTCACCCGTGGACGAAGCGGAGTCCAGCCCAGAGTCGTCACATGTCCTTCTGGACGCTCCTTCGTCGAAATCGCCGTTCTCAAGCCTGCGCCTCTGCTCACTCTAACCCTCCAGCCGTTCCTCATGCTAGCCCCCGGCCTCTGCTCACTGTAGGCCGCGGTGTGTAACACTGTTTCTTTGTGAAAGCGAAACTACTTTGTTTGGCCTTCCAAAAGAGGACACGACTAGAAATCAATGTTTCATTACACCAAATACACAAAATACTGTTCTTTTTAGCAGCATCATATGACCCCTTTAAGTAACAGTATGTTAACTAGATATATTTAGTTGCTGCATTTGTATCATTTTATTTGTATCATTTCATAGAACATTTTGGCCAAAACATTTTTTTTTTTTGAAAGCTAAAGTAATAAAAAGTATCCAAACTACTTGTCTTATAGGGTTGCAGGGATGCAGGAGCCTGTTCCAGCATCGCGGGCTGAAAGCAGGGAAACACTCTGCAAGGAAGGAAGGTATAAAAGCTGCTGTAGGTCAATTAAGATTTAATGAATGAACTCACACTTCGATTGGACTCTTGTTGTGTCAAATGTGAGAAGACTTTCCAGTTTTATGGAAGTCACCATCTTTGATATTACT